GTTGATAATGTTGAGCTCTCCGAGTGTACTTCTGCCATGAAAAATAAAGGATTTCCCTCATAAAAATTCATCTACCTTTCGGAGGCGGCTTCGTATAAGCTCATGTTATCTCATGTTTTACCCATTTCTCTTTCGCCACCCCTGCTCATTACTGCCCACTCAACGACTGTCCACACATAAATATGTATTCCTCTTGTGCAGATCTTTAAATTTTTGCTGTAATTTGTGGCATAAAATATCCAGACTTGGACTTGATTCATGCTCGTTCCTCTTTGATTGCGTTTAAATGCATAAGATAATTAAAGAACTATCACAAAAACATATATTCCCACCATTTTCGACATCTAATTACCTTTCATTGCCTTTATAGGCATATACTTATGTATGTACATATGTATGCACGTATGTACATAGATTTTCTCAGCATAAGCGCCCTCTATAAATAGGTATTCAAACAGAAAAATACTTCAAAGCTGCATACAAACATATAAGAGCACATATGTATGTATGTAAGTATACCGTGCACTAGTATGGGTCTAGCATTAAATGGCGGCTCGTTTCGTTGAAGACCAACGTTTTTTACCAATTTCGCAATTAAATCTCATTTGAAAGATAGGAATTTTCGAATCAAGTCATAAAACTTCATTCAATTGAAATGTCAGTCGGCTGGATTGAAGTCTAATGACAGCCACCGCCGTCGCCGCCGCCGCCGCCACTGCATTGGAAAACAAACAAATCACACGCGGCAATAATAGCCATGCAGTTTGCCATCGTTAGTGAGGAATTGCAGAAAACAGACAACTACACCAACAGCATGCAGAAATACGTGTACGCTCGAAACTGTCAGCACATTGACAGCGAACGTTATTGACAAAATCAATATGGCAGCACTGCTAACTTTGTAAGCTTCTTTTGCTAAACTTATTGCATTGGAAGTGGACTCTAAAACGGTTATTGTTGTTGGCAAGTAACGAGCACATACAAACGGCCTTAGGTATTTACAATTATAATGCAGAAGCCAAAATGAGCAACTGACAGTCGGCGTCCAACCGTTTGGACGGACATTGACTAATTTCCACAAATGGCATTGGCTGCTGCCAGTGCAATTGCTGTTGTTTTTGTGTTTGTTTTTGCTGCTTTTCACCACGCGAACGCACAATGCAGATTTAACAACAACTTGGGCGGAAACGGTAGACGAATGCAAAGTCGCGAACGTGTTGTTGGTTGAGAAATGAAGTGAAAATAGTGGCGAACAGTTGGTAGCCGCAGTTGGTAGCGGCATTAAACACAAACAGCGTGGAAAACAGTAAACAGCTTTGATACCGTAGAATTGTTTGTAAGCAATAATATTGATTGCCGAATAGCAGAAGACAAAATAACAACAAAATTACAGCAAAATAGCACCAAAAACAAGGCATGCACTAAAAACAGGACAGCAATGGCTGCAATGACAGCTAGAATAATGGCGAATGGCGACTGTCACTGGGCAAATGGCGAACGCTATTTGCAGTTTGTTCAATCGGCTAAGAAAAATTAAAGACTTTGTAGCTATAAAATAGTACAAATCAAATTTCAAATTAAAACAACGATATTTTTCAGCTTACAACAAAGTTGTTATTTTGGGGTGATAAGACGTGACACATATTTTGTTATTTATGAGGCCAAAGGAATTTATTGATTTAAGCTGCTTAGCTGCAATAAAGCGCAATAATAAGTTTTAGAATTGAAACTAATTTACTATTGAATTGCAGGCTTAGTCCATTAGTAGTAATGTACGACAGGTAAAACGTTGCTCATTTAGAGATAGACAAATCCCTACTCCGAACGCAAGCAGAGGTTCGCAGGGCACGGTAAACCGTAGAACTAGAACATTCGGATAAATTTGCAGTCTCGTCATGTAAATTTGCCACTTCTATGCATAGACAAAAAGTTTTGCTTCCTAATGTTTTAGCGAATAACGGTTAGGATCGTTTCAGATATTACGTGGTGAAATAAAAAACATATTTTAAATCCCCAGCAATTCTTTCTGATCTTTGGGAAATTAGTTCTTGTGCGACTACAATAGTCGGGGGGTTAGCATTGCGTACTAACATTCGGATGGCCAGTGTTCGAGCACAGACATGTAGGTAGTGTTTAGCCCTCAGAGTGTATTTCTAACACTAAATAAAGACTTCTCATAAAAAAACATCCGCATCCATACCAGAAATTGGAGGAGAAGCTCGGTCGAAACTCGTTTCGGCGGTTATTATATATGTATATATGAAGCTAAACTTGTATTTAAATATTAATTTAGGTTTTCTTGTGGTATATTTACAAAATCTTTTTCATACATACATACCCACTATTCGCATGCTGAACCCGTACTTTTGTCAAGACAACATACAATTCGCTAGTATGATGGTCTACTCTAATCTCTTCGGTATTCATGTTCACATAAGCTAAGTTCAATTTGGTGGCAACCCTATGCGATTATTCTGTACAAGTTTCGAATTAAATCGTTTGAGCCATTTTCGAGATAGTTGTAAATATATTTCATATATATACTTGTATGTCTAGCGCGTAAATGAAATAAAATAAACAAAAATATTCTTATGTAAAACAAGAAGTAATTATAGTTAAAAAAATGACAATATTGGATTGGAAGTTACTTTCACAGAAGAAGCCTATCGTGAGTGTTCTCGAGTTTGACTCCAAAGAGCTTTATAAGTACATAACAACACAAACAGAGGTGGTTTTGCTACATATATTTCAGTAGGGTGTCCAGTTTTTGAAAACAGTTGAATAAATTTTATTAAAAAAAATAAAAAGAGAAAGGGAAAAATTAAGAATCGTTAAGAATGTTATTGAATTTCACAATATAGTAAGGTTGCACTGTAACGATAAATTTCAAGTTAATGAAAAATTTTCATTTAATTCGGTTGAAACATTTGAAAATGTTATAAATTTTATTACGATACTTTAAATATTTCTAGATCTGAAGATTATTGTTTGTTAAATGAGGTTATGTTTTAATATACTGGATAAATTTTTTGTCACTTTTCAATACCACAATTAGTTAGTTTTATTCAAAATTTTGATTTCAAATAGAAAAATCAAAACTCAGTCTTGCTTATCTAATTTGTTTCAGTCAATCCCTAAAATGTAAAAACTTAAAACTAATATTCTATCTCAGATGGCTAAATCAATTATGTACATACGTATATTAGTATCTAGTACGTAGTTTCATATTTGCACTTCATCAATCTTAAATGCAACAAAAGCTGAAAAAACATTGTGACAGTGTCGTTCACATGTACATATGTACATACATACATATGTTTGTAAGAATGCTGCTATGAAAGTTTACGTATGCAGTTGGAAATATACATACGAGTATATTGTACATGTTGTATGTAAGTATATACATACATAAATAGAAAGCATATAATGAATGTAGCTGTGAAAATGAAAAATTAGACTAACAGCGTAAATAAATAATAACATGTAAGTGAATGAGTGAGTGTAAAAATTAGAATGAAAAATTACCACAAAATGCCAAAATGAAAATCATATGCAATTAATCAAGGCCAAATGGACGAATGAACGAATGAACGAAAGAAAGAACGAACGGCTGCGCTATGACGGTTTTGAACACGTAATGCACGGTACACTTTAGTGTACAAATATACATTAGTATATACATACATATGCATGTATGTACATGTGTAAATACAATAGATGTTGATTAAAGGTAATTATTATTTTCAAACTTTAAGCTATGCAGATATACATATGTACATATTTACTATTTGTAAGCAACAACTAGTGCTTTTACATACGTTCATATGTATGTATTATATACCGCGAAATTTTATTTGAATGATACGATCTCTGATATGACACCATCACCGTTAATATATATACATATATAGGTATATATGTAGGTGTATATATGAATATGTACGCTTCGAATCATTTTGCTTGGCAACACTCATTGCACATATGTACATACATTTGTATGTACACGTACGACATACTGCTCGCTGGCAACCAATCACCGCATTGCCAATTACAAACGCATTGTCAGAAGTGCAAGTTCAAACCTGAATGTTCAATACACTGTGTAGGCCTGCTGAGATGACATGCGTAAACACGCCTACGCATCACAGCCACTCAGCCACTGGGTAGGCAAGCGATGTTTTTTCTGACTGTAAAATAAACGATGTTGCACGTATACGCCCACACAAATCAGAAGCTTTTTTGTTTCATTGTTTTTGGATTTGTGTGCATTTCAGTAGCTTAGCTTACAGCGCTGTGTTGAACTTGGGAACTTAATGGGCGTGGTCATGTTTTGTTGGAACCCTTTGCTACTATTGATTTCCTTCAACCACCATTGCTTTATGTGACTTTAGCGCCAGCTATGCGAGTGAATGCGAGATAAAGTTGTTTAATTTGTTGTTTGTGTAAATTGTGTGCTCACTGATGTGGTGTAGCAAGGGAACTGGTTTTTGTTGTAGTGAACTACCTACCCCTACTTTTTCTTTTCTGTTTCATTTTCACTCTCAGGTGCTAATAATTTCTTAATGGAACTCTCTCGTCATCCTTTTCACATGCATGTCCCGATTGCCGCTTAACGGCCATTTTGCAAATTACGCTTGCTCTCTTGCACCAACTTTGAGTTACCAAACCTGGGTAACCAGTTTTTCCACATTCGAAATTCACCACACTTACTTCCGTCAGTCAACAACTAGTTGACCTCTTTACACTTTTGGCTTGTACGCTTGTGGCGGGATTATCAATTGTATTGCCCTTTCATTGCGGCTGTTATTCACCACATCGCTCATGTGCGTGCGTGCAACAAAAGTCACGGCATGTGGCATGTGAACTCTTGCTGTTGCACACACGCAGAGTGCTATGCTCCATAGTAACGCCATAACGTAAGCAAGCAATAGCACCAATAACTACCACGGCCGCCTGAGTCAAATTACTCCAACAGGCAGACCAGCCAGTCTGAGCCGACGGTCGTTCATTGCACACTACTTCATATTCATACGCTTATGTGTATGCTTTCCACGTTGTTGTTTTTGTTTTGCTTGTTTCGTTCTACACCAAGTGTGTGTATAGCCGGCCCGCATATGCCGAAGGAGTCGAAGCTAACCACTGTGCACCCCGCATTCGCACAGCGTCGACCACGACGACAGCACACACGACACGATACCACGATACCACTCGGAAAGGTACGGTCGGTCTCATGCTTGAGACTGTATGCAGTGGCATAAGCAATTCCCAATTGTACGGAGTATTAACGGAAATAGACGCAACGCAGTTAGAAATATTTCGTTCACAGATCTAACAGGCGGATCAGCAACGGCTTAACACTGTTCATAACGGTGACGCGGTCGTGGAAAATAATTTGTTTAGTTATTCGAATAAAGTGGATAATTTGTGTTTTGGTTAAAAAAAAATATTAGAATATTATACAAGAATGTGATGAAATATCTAAGAAGATAATTATTGTGAAATTCATATAGAATCGCATAAATACGAAAAAACCTCAAATGCGACGGTAAACGAACGCAGTGATTGAATTTGTGCGAAAAAAATGTGAAAAGATAAACGGAAAATAATGAAATTACTGAAACGATTTTAAAACGTTTATAAATGTTCAAGTTCAAGTGATTTTGTATTTGAAAAGTACAACGCGATTACAAAAAGAAATAATATACATACACACACACTTTACAAATTGAGCAGTTTGGGCGCCACTTGTTCACCTTTGACTTACTGAGCGATTGACGCGTTCAAAAACATTAAAATAACTCTCTACTCAGCTAATACATAAAATTAACAGCCTTCAAAATGATGATGAACGCTTTCATCGACCCCACACCCTCGCAACATCATTTGGCCTCCTACGGGCTGCGTATGTCACCGACCACACCCACCAATCAGTCGGATTTGTTGGGGGGCAACGCTCAGCAACAACATGCACAGCATCAGCAGCAGCAACAACAACAGGTGCAACAGCAGCAGCAACACCAAGCACAACAACAGCAACAAGTGCAACAACAACAGGCACAACAATTGGACACCAGCGGCCTAATGTCCTCAGCAATGTCGTTGGGCGCTAGCGTCACCGATATGTCCTCGCCTGTAAGTGCATCAGCTGCAAGTGCTGCTGCTTATCAGAATAGCGGTTACGGTCATTTTAATACTCAGCTCGGTTCAGCGTACTCAACGCCGCGTGATTTTCTGCTGGGCCGACGCACGGACAACGATTATATGTCTGGCGCAACAACGTCACAATTGGTCGGCCAAAGCGCAGCCACAACGGCGGCAACGGCCGCTGACTCTATGCTATTCCCACCATTTCCCGCCACACATGCACAACATCCTGATTTGACCAGCTCCTTTGGCAATCACCCCTTTCATGCGGCGGCACATCATCATGCAGCCGCCGCTCATCACCATCAACATCAGATGCGTATGGGTATGACTGATTATGCGCATCCATATGCACATCATGCTCAACATCATACAAATTTCCCGTCGGTGCATCATCATCAGCATCCCGCCATGTCCATGCATCCAGCCGGTGCGGGTGCTTTTCTACGTTACATGCGTCACCAGCCATCGGCAGCGTCAGCAATCAAGCAAGAAATGCAGTGCCTGTGGGTTGATCCCGAACAACCGGGCGGTCCGAATGGTCGCAAAACTTGTAATAAAATCTTTCACACCATGCATGATATAGTCACACATCTAACGGTGGAGCACGTCGGCGGACCGGAGTGTACAACTCATGCCTGCTACTGGATTGGATGCTCGCGCAACGGTCGCCCTTTCAAAGCCAAATACAAGTTGGTCAATCATATACGCGTACACACGGGCGAGAAACCGTTTGCCTGTCCACATCCCGGTTGCGGCAAGGTGTTTGCACGCAGCGAGAATCTCAAAATACACAAACGGACACATACCGGTAAGTGGCTAAAAGAAAATAATGATGAAAATCACAATCAGACAAGAAATTGTGGAAATCCTTTCGCAAGAGGGGCGTTGTGTTGGCACACCTGTGTAGGGTATGCAATAACATCGCTGAAATGTATTTAGATCGTGATTGGTTTAGTAGAAGAATATTTACTTGACTTCATTTGCATTTGCATTTGCTTTGCTCTGTTTTTGTTTTGTTTACTTTGTTTGGCATTATCTTAACTTGTTTTCCCTTTGGCTTTTGTTTACTAAGCGGATTAGCTAATTTTTGGGCCGTACCGTTGTAGGCGTACGCATTGATTTTTGCATATTCTCACGTGCATACATACATATGCTTATGTGTGTGTATGTGTGTATATAATGTTATATATACCCATACCGGGGTATACATATGTATGTCAAGTCTTCCGTATGTCTGCTTTGTTTTGAGGCGTTGAAGGTTGGCTATTGTTCTCTAGCCACTTTGGACAGCAGAAAGTCACTGAGGCTATATTCGTTGTATCTTATATACAAACACACATACATACGTATGTAGATGCTTTTGCATTTGTATCTAAAATGCGTAGCAAAGCATATTATATTCTCTAAAATATCTGAAAGTAATGCATGAAGACATTTCTATTAGTTTCGCTTGCTTTGCTGGATAGATATATTTTTGTGCGAAATTGGTAAAGATAGTGGCGGAAGCGAATACAGTTGATGAACACACACACATGCATATATTATTGGAAAGATGAATGCTGTTTATTCTTACGCTAAAAGTACTACTTGGGAAAGAACTTTAAATTTTAAAACAAACTTAATTTTCATACAAAAATTGGTATTTTTCGAAAAGTTAATGGTTTAAAGTTTCAGCTAAATACATTTTTATAGAAAAAATGCAAATATGTTCTTAGACCAGCGCTTCTGATGATGCCCCGAAACACTCCTCAAACTAAATCTTCGAGATAGCCATAGTTAGTTCTTTCAGCGATACGCTTTTAATGACATTTACGGCTGTAAGCCGACGGCTCTTTATTTCCTATTTATGTTTGCAAATTAATAGGAAAGAGTCACACGGAGCCATGTCCGACGGCTATGTAGGTCTGGAGACTGTTTTAAAATTCTTGATCAAGTGTGATCAGGTGCATCTGCATACATATATATTTCCCTTAAAATATTTTAATTCTCTTTTTATTGTTCCTTGAACTTTTTTTTGATAATTTACGGATTCACTTTTCTATTTAATAAACAAAAACGAAAGAAAAACAAAAGAAAAACAAAAGAAAAATGTATTTTTGTAAATAATATAATGGCAATAAATCCATTGTTCCCGAAGCTTGCTCCTTGCAACGCCATACTTCGTTTCCCTTATTTGCAGTTATTAAAAATTTTAAATTTGTTATGAGACTTACATTTACACAGGTGACCAGACCAAGCCCAAAACTATATGCACAAGAAATTAAATTAAATACGAATTTTTATTTGATTTCATTTAATATTTTTTTAAAAGCAACTACTTGTTTTAAAGAAAATTATTTTTCTATCCCACGAAAAAAATGAGGCTAACTGTTAGTTTGCCTGTAAATTAATAAACATATCTTCATGTTAGTTTGCTAAGGGAGCAGAAGAAGAAGGTGTGCAAATTATTTATTTAGACGTTTAGAGAAATTTTAAATTTACAAAATACAATTTCCCCTACACAATTTTGCGTAACTAATGTCTTAATCGAATTTAAATGATGTCGAATCGAACGCAATTTTGAATTTAAAATCGGCACTTAAATTTTAAGCAAATTAAATGAAGTTTAATAGTATTTAAACTTTATATATATGTATGTGTGTGTGTGTACGCTGTAATATTTGCTGCCGACAGATTATAACTCAAAGCTGTAAATCATAACAATTTTGACATAGTAAATCATGGCAAAGCCACTGTGACACCCTAAATAAATAAAAAAAATATTGGAAATAAAAATGCTGGAATGAAACAAAATTTAATAGAATCGTATTCAATTTAAAAATAAAATATAGATAAAAAAAAAAATTAAAATAAAAAACTAATAATTCAAAATAATGAAAATAAAAATGCGGAAATAAAATAAATTTTAACAAAATCTATTTTAATTTGAAAAGATAATATAAATTAAAATAAATAAATCAAATTGATATGCAAAAAAAAAAAAAAAAAAAAATACAAATTGAAGAAAAAATAATAGAAACAAAAATAAAGAACTCAAATAAAATGTATTGAACAACAACTGCACCCCAGTTTTCAAAGCGCCACCTTGTATTGATGCTTATTTAATACTTTTTATATAATATTCTTGTTACAATTTAATGCTAAGCATTTGTATTTGTTTGTGGTCTCATATGTGTGTGTGTGTGTGGGTATCCCAAAACGCGCATTTCCTGTGACACTTTACGATCGCAACGGAAGTGTTGACACGTGTCAACCAAAGCAGCAGCGGGCGTTTATCCACCAAAATATGTATGCATGTATATATACATATATGTATATGTGCACATGCATAAATATGTTTGCCAAATTACAAAATAAATACATTTCACTCCAAATGAGGGCAAACAATTCAATATTTAGATTGACTTGTGCTGCTTTTCACACATACCATCAAACAAATAAAAATACTCGTATGTACGTATGTATGTAGCGTGCAAGTATACTAACTGTCTCCAACAAATTCAATGGCATTCCATACAATAGAAATCAGTGATTGAATTTTGATTTATTTTCACAATTGTAAAAGTGTTTAATGAGGCGTATTTCGTGTAACCGCAACACTCACAGCGCGCAACATTTGCAATGTTGAACTGAGTGAAAATCCTACTCCTCCTGCTGCTGGCTCCGGTGGCAGTGTTTCAAGTGGCATCTCAAGTGGTGTTGTGTGGTACGCGTGTGCATTGTATGCCAGGTTAGAATTGAAGAAAATAAAAGTAAATTGCTTAAATGCTTGGAAGGTGCAGCGCAGGAGGTCAATGTGCTTTTGTAAGAAGATTTTCGTATTATTGCCTTGTACATATATTATTTACGCACACATAAATTGTGCTTTAATTGCTCAAGTGTATAATTGGCGTCACACTTAAGGTGGTGAGTGAATAGGAACTTCGTGGACAAACTCTCTAAGTTGTTAGTTAAATTATTTATATTAAAAATATTTGAATGCATAAAAAAATACAAAAAAAAAATATAGAAAATAATAATTAAATACAAAGGGGAAGAAATTAAACTAAATTAAATTAAATTAAATTAAAATCAAAAACCACCTTGACCCTTTTTTTTAAAGAGAAACCGCGCGATTTCTATGAATCAGGCATCCGTAAATTGGTCGAACGTTGGGAGTGGATTGCACTTGAAATCGGGCACGAACTTATGCACTCATCCAATAACAATATAAATATATTTCGGAAAAAATTAAGAAAAAATTAAAAAAGATTTAAAAATGTGTATTTAAATTCCTTTATATACAAAAAATTTTAAAAGGGCTTTAACAGTTCAGCCATAACTGCTCAATTTCCTTAAAATTTAAAAACTTCCCACTGTTAAGAATATCCTTAAAAAACACACTTTCATATATGAATTTTCAAATGGCAAATAATTTCCTGTGTAAATTTGCAAATCTTAACAGCGAAAAAGCAAAAAGAAACAAAGTAAACTTATTTACCCAATTTAAACAAAGAAATGCCATAATTAAGTTGCACACACAAGTTCGTTTGTATATACAAAAAAAAAAGGAAAAACATTTGCTCAAGGCTTAATGAAATTTCCGAAATGTGAAATAAACACCAATTAAAAAATCTTAGAACATAAAACAACAAAGTAGAAATTTTGTTTGCGAAACCCAAAAACGATATATTAAAAACTTTAGAAATAGCCCTGAGTATATCATTTATAATATAATTAAAAGTTTCCGCAAAACTAAAAAAAAGAACACTTATATTAGCAACACACACACTCAAATATATTACAATAAAATCAAAAGGCAATTAAAATATCTGAAGAAAGGGTAAATATAAAAGCTACAAATGAAACCGTCGAAAATACAGAAAACAATTTGTTTGCTATTGTTAAAAATATAAAAAGAAATAATAACACAACAAAAAACTGGAATTATAATAATGACAGTGGAATAAAAGAAAATACTAATAATAACACAATAAGTACTAAAGAAAAATGCCGAAATTGAAAAACTGCCGCGTAATGATTGCCAATCAATGCTTTAATATGAGTTGCCATGCCCCCGACAACAACAACTACCCGGCGGAAAACACAAAACCGAAAACAGATAGCATATGCTCAATGTATTCTTGTATATGTATATGCGCACATATATACATATGTACATGTGTATATCTCATCAATTGCTATAAATTCATGCAAACATATTTTCTGTATGTATGTACAAGTGAATGTAGCATGAGCAGCGGCAAAAAAAATGTATATTAATCCATCATTATGTCGAAAAATCCCAGCCAGAAGTTGAACGTAGAAGAGCAAAAACAAACGTTATTTAAAAAATAAAAAAATATAACAATAAAAAAAATATAAAAATAAAAATTATAATGAAAAAAGTCGAAAAAAAAAATATTCAAATATAAATTGAGCAAGTCAAAAGGCGAGAAAAGTGTGTAAAAATTCATACATGTGTATATTCATATATTTCATATATTTTTGTACGCACATACACACATATGTACATACATATGTACATGTGCACAGGCATGTGTGTAGTAAATGCGGCATTTACAAGTTCGTTGTGTCTACGCTTTAAAACATTTTAATTACTTTCCAATGATATGCAATTTTACACATAAATCACTCAACACAAATTGCTATAATATCGAAAAAGAAGCAGAAGAAGCAGAACAACGAATAAGAAATGAAGTGAGAGGCAATTATATTATATAAAATAGCTTAGCAGTAGTTTTGATTACAAACAGAAGTATCATGTGTAACATACTTCCTTGGCATAACATGCATACATACATACGT